AGTGGTTGGGATAGATATATAGTTACATTCTCTTAATGAATAGAGGGATTTGTTCTAATGGTGTTTGTAAATAGGATATCAAGTCCGCATCTTGTACAGCAATTAACCACTAGGAAGAATGTATGTAATGTGTTAATTATTGAAACTGTCCTACCAATTTGGTTTGAAATTGTCTCATTGCTATTTGTTTCTCAATAAAATTATGGGGAAAAAAATAAAGATATTGTAGTCTCAAAAAATAATTAAAAATAAAATAAATGCAGACACGCCCACTCCTCCCGCCACACCCAGCTGGCCCTGGCACAGCCGCCCAGCGGGAAAGCCTGAGCTGGGCACACTCTGGCCTGTGTGCAAACGCACCCCACGCACCCAGCTGCTCCCCAGGCACTTCCAGTTCGGCCTTCTGGGCCCTGCAGCAGATGCTTTTGAGGACACCTATGTGGATATGCTGAGACCCAGGGAGCCCCTGGACGCCTGCTCACGCCACCTCCGCCCGCCAGCACCACCAGTGACGGCCTGTGTCCAGGCGTTCCACCCCCCACTCCCACAGCTTACTTAGGTGCCAAAAGCCTGCCCTATGTCTAGCCTAATCAATCAAACTGAACTTTGGCATGAAGTGAAAGAGAAAACCTTTAAGGATCTTTTGTTTTGTTTTGTTTTGTTTTGTTTTGTTTTTTATCATTAAGCAAGGACTCCGTTCTCGGGTAGACTGACCTTTATTTGACTTTGGGGAGTGAAGCACACAGCTTATGAGCTTGGGAGTTCTGGTTCTTTAAGGACAACAAGAAAAAAACCAGAGGAGGGGACGAAGGCCGTGGGGGAGGGAGCTGTCACATGTCCCTGTTTGACATCTGTGGAATACAGGTTTGCTCTCTCTTGCTCTCTCTCTCGCTCTCTCTCTCTTTTTTTTTTTAGGAACCGGGGATTGAACTCAGGCCCTTGCGCTTGCCAGGGAAGCGCTCATTCCACTGAGCCATCTCCTCAGCCCTAGGTTTGCTCTCTTCACGGAACTAGTTTAAGAAATACAGCAGCAAGCGAAAGGAAAGCTGGCTGCAATCATGACTTTCCTGAGGTTTGGGAGCCACGTCCTGTCCCAAGGGACTGGAGGTCACTTGGGTCACCTTATTCAGCTGACTTGTCCTTGTAAGAAGAGGGGTGGCCCCAGCTGTCCTAAACAGAGGGGCTAGGGTGAAGGAAAGATGAGCGAAGGGTGGAAGAAAGCACACCCAGAAAGTGGCTTGACAGTCCAGACCGCAGTCTTCTCTTCTACTAAGTCAGGTGTTTGAGTAGAAACCTCCCTTTTGGTGGGGGTTTGTTGCTTTGGCAGAAGTGTTTTTTTTTTTTTTGTTTGTTTGTTTGTTTTTCCGGAATGCCTTCAAGGCATGACTGGCTGTCTTGTGTTGTTGGGGATCGAACCAAAGCAACCGGAGCCTGACTGCTTTGTTGAAGCAGCCACTTAAAGAACTGAGCTACAGGGCAGGCCCCCTGGGTTTGTTGCTTTGATTTTCCATCTTTGTGGCCCTGGAGGCCAAGGCCATGGGTGCCTTACCTCAGACTATATCCACAGCTCTCCTCCGCATTTTGCAACACAAGATCATGCTAATTTGCCCAGGTTAGCGGCCTGGAAAGGTCTTATTCTGTGTGCAAATTCCTGTGCTGACTCCCTGCTCAGTATGGCCTCGTGTCTGGAAAACACTTCTGCATCCCCCTGCGGATGCGCTGACTCTGGCTGGAGCACCGCAGCGGTCAGGCGGCACCGGCACCAGGGCGGATCCCCCTTCCCCTTGAGCACACACTGCAGCTTCCTGCATGAGGTGCCAGGACCTGCTCACCTCGGAGGGCGGTGACATCATCACGTGCAACTGTGCTCAGCAGAGGTCTTAAAAAGCGGTGGCCTCTGTGTCTGTGCAGGCTGCGCTCCTCCCTGCCCTCTCTGCCCGTGTGTGGCCGTCATCTTAGACTCGTTTGCCACACACAAGACGTCTCTGGCTCATGTCACCCGGAGCAGGTATCTTGCCTTGTCTGTTTTATTGATTACTGTCTCATTGCCTTTCTTGCTTAAAACAAAAACAAAAACACCTTTTCTCTCCTGCTGATGCCTCCTCATTTCCCTCTCCTCTAACTGTTACTCCAGCAGCTCTGCTACTTAGCTCCATGGTGTCTTAGCAGATAGCTGGTGGGAAGGAGATGAGCTCACCAGCATTGCGTCCTGCCCCTGGGCTGGCTGCGGAGTGGCGAGGAAGCCCTCTCCGAGGCTCCTGGCAGCTTCACTGCTTTTCAGGGCTCCCTCTGGGGAGGAGAAGGAAGGCACTCTTAATCCCATCTCTCCCCCAACACATACACTCACGTACCCGGGGGCCGAGTGGACCTCTGCGGCCTCATGGGCCTGGCTGGGACCACTCCTCCCCCAGGGAAGGAGAAGCAATGAGAACACAGGCGCCCCAGCCACCCTGCACCTGGGCATCCCCGACTGCTGCCCTTTTGCTAGAGGAGCTGTGTGGTGCTCACAGAGTGTGTGTCTTCTTCCCAACACATTTGAACTTGGCAAGAAAAGCCCTCCTCTCTTCCTGGAAGCTAGAGAGGGTGGGCTGCCTGGCATGAGCAACGGCGCCAGTGTAGCCGTAGGGAACTGGGATTCTGTGCCTGGCTCTGCCTTTTTGCTGTGTCACAGGGAACACTTCCTTCCGGAGCTCCTGATCTGTGACAGAGATAAAAATAAATAAATAGAGTTAAAAACAAATTTTAAGGACCTATTGTTCACTCATGGAAATGAACCACAATGGGGCAGACAGAATGAGTCTTGGGTCAGACTGCTCTATCCCCAGCCCTGTCACCAGGGCCCAAAGCAAGCTGCTGATGATGCCTCCCCAGGCCTCAGTTCTCTAACCCTCAGAAGGAGGATCAGATAACCAAAGATGCAGGCCTTCTACTCACATCTCCATCTTTCCATTTAAGGATGAAAAGTGGTTTTGCAAAGAAAACAGTATGACTCATGTCATGCAAGTCTTGAGGAAATGGGCCTGGGATTTCAGGGCCCTGGTATTCCAGGGGTAATTGGCTATAATTCTTTTACAGAGTTATGAATCCTGAAGCTAGGATTATAGTTATCAACAGTTACAAAATCAATCATTTGGTGAAAACCTACTGTGTGTCACTACTCTGTCCCTTGAAAGGTTTACAGTATAAATGGGTTATGCTTCTTAATTATTGAGGTATAATGTTACGGCTTACCACTGGAAGTCCCCTCACAGCCTCGTGCACTCAGAGGTGGAGCTCTTCGGGGTGACTGGATCATGGGTATGTGGTACTAGGTTACTCTACTGATTGGTTTGGCATGACTCTGGGTATGGGTGATTGATTACTGAAAAGAGAAGCCCACCCTGCATGAAAGCAGAGAGGGGGATTGGCACCAGAGAGAAAGGAACCTAAGACCAGGCACGGGGCCCAAGATCAAACTTGGTGACACATTGAAGCACACCCAGAAGCGTGTTCCATCAATCCCTGAAGGGGATCCCAAGGGCAGTCAAGGTGACACAACAAAGAGCAACCCCTCCCCACAACCCTCCCCTCCCAGCATCGCATTCTCTGAATACTTCCTAATGCTTAGGTCAACCTGCCTGTCACTGTAGTTCTTCACACTCTTTGGCACATGACCCACCACGCATCCACCTTGGCGCAACGAAGTACTTATTTTTCTACCTGCTTCTTCCATCCACTGGAGTGTTCTTCTGGGGACACACACCCAGTATCAGGTGACAAGGCACCTCCAGCATGGGGTAGAACACCCGCTACACAGCAAGTATGCAGGGAAATCTGTTGGTCTGCTGACAGACGTCAGCCCTGCCTCCAGGGCCCAGCAAGGCTTCTGATCTTCCTGAGCCTTCTCACGTTTTCCTCCAGCTTGGGAGCAGGACACACCTCCGATAGGGACAAGGCCAGCTGTGCAGCACACAGAAGCAGCAACAGGTGGAGTGGAGGAGGCTCCCGTGGAGGTGGTGACAGGAGGAGGGCGCACACTCTGGATCAGCTGTGGGAGGGAAGATGACAAGTCGAAGTGTGCAACAATGCTAAGTCACCAGAAAGCATAAGTCATCAGGAGCCACCCGAGACGTGGGAGAAGAGGGAAGTGGAGAGAAGACAACTGCTTTGATTCTGTGACTTTGTTTAGAGTTCTGCCTGTTGCAATGGCGGATGTGACCCGGGAAGCAACGTGGTACATCCCCAGACTTAGTATCTATGGTAGTGGAGACATCGTTCCTGGCTTCACCTCACACATCAGACTGGGGCAGGCCCTGGAATGAGCAGGCTCCTAGACCCTAGCAAAGGGTTTGGGATTGCAGTTGTTGGGCAGGATTATTGTTCCGTTACCACAACCATGCTGTTCACACAGCATGGACGCTCCACGTATGTGGAAGGCTCCACCAACACAGGAAGAGTGAGAGAGTTCAAAGGCTGGAGTTCGTTCTATTCCTGGTCCACCAAGGCGCAAGATCTGTGATGGGCCATTTCATCTCAAGAGGCCTAAGGCTTGGCTAGAATGCACATATACATTCCAAAGCTGTGCTTCAGCGGCTACCTGCCCCTCAGGCCTCCGGCCTCAGTGGGGTCCTGTGCCCTAATCCACTCCCCTGTGCCCCCACACCCAGGGGCTGACACTGCACCTCAACTTCCTTGCAATGACAATGCTCAACAAACATCTAGTTGTCACTGAAATCCAGAACAGATAATTCAAGGACTAAGACTCACCACCACCAATAGATGACATAAGCAGAAATTTCTCCAGCGAGGACAGGGCCAGGGCTCAGTGTAGTGTTGTCATTCAGCTTCATGAGAAAACAGAGAAGCAGACTCACATCCTCAGCCCAGTTTATTCCCTCTGTCCCTTCCCCGTCTGCTCCTGCATGTGTCTGAGGGGCTGCAGGAGGGGACCTTGTAATACCACAGCCTGTTAAAACTCTTTCCATCTCCTTCGCTAACTAATAGAGACAGCTGATCAGCCCCTCCCCTGAGAAGCTATCTTCTCCCCAGAAGAGGCCAACTCAGCTCTATAACATTCTCGGCTCCTTCATTCATTTTGTTCTTCTTATACTAGCAGCTCAATCTATATGCTGATTGTTGTTGTCCGTGCATTACCTGGCAAGAGGCTGCAGCCTACTAATGTTAAGGAGGAGGAAGCTTCGCAGGAGTGAAGTTGACTGCTCTGCAGCTGGCCAAGGCTGAAGGGCGCGTGAGGAGCCAGGCTTTAGGAAAAGAAGCACATTCCTTGGACCTCGAAGCCATCAGCCTGCTCTGAGGGAGGGCCTGCGCCCAGGCCGGTGCGACAATTGGGACTTTATTTCTAGTCATCTCTACAGCAAGGGTCTCAACTACCTGGCTAGCCAGGCTGGTGGTCATCGTCCTTCTTGTCAGAGTTCTTGTGACTGACAGAATGTCCAGGGTGTCTTCTGTAGGAGAGAATTCGGGTGGATCGGGAACCCAGACCTGCTCAGGCTGCCTCTGAAACAAGTGATCTCTGGTGTCATCAACTTTGTAATAAACCGTGGGGCACGGGAATTACTGTGCAAAGCTCTTTTTCTTATTTTTAATGTATTTATTCCAGGGTCTCACTAAGCAGCTCATGCTTTCAGCCTCCCAGCACTGGGATTACAAGTGTGCGCCACCACGCCGGACTCAATGGCCAACTCAGGATGCCCGGGGTGGGGTCGGCGCCGCACGTGGTGCCAGGGATCAAAACCTGTTCCCTGTGCTTGCCAAGCAGGTGCTTAGTCTGCTGAGCTATCTCACTGGCCCTGTGCAAAGGTTTCTGAACGAACAACAGACCAGCTCGTGGGAGTGTCACTACAATGATCAGCCAGCAAAATGTATGTGGCAGGAGAGATCGAACAAGACAGGACTGGGGAGGCGCATCTCGCGTGAGCCTGGCAGGAGTGCACCTTGCTGCGAGGATCTTCGCAGGAGCTGGGAGGCATCTGGCGCTGTGCCTGAGGCTCCGTCGTCAACACAGGCTCTCGTCCTCGAGGTTAAGCAGGCGACACCCCAAGCTCACCACCTGTGTCTCATGTCTGTCCCTTGCTCTTACCTTCTGGCAGCTGGGCAAAGTCCAATTTTCCTTCTTTCCAGGAAGTTTTCTTCTCCCTTGAGATAAAGAAAAAAAGTTGAAAATAATTAGGATGTCTTGCAAGGCCTAGGCTTGGCATGCCCAGCCTGAGCTGGAGCTCTGGAGGAGCTCAGCAAAGGCCTCGCTGCAGCCCCTTGACTCAGCACTCTCGCCTCCCTGAGAGTGGCCGTGGGGGGCGACTCAGAGGAGGCGGTCTCACTGCTCCGCACGTAGCCCTTTGGAAGGCCCGCAGTTTTCTGAATTCTCATTTTTAGACTCTGCACCTAAAGCAAAAAGTAGTGTCACTGACGTTTACCCAAAAGCCACCTGGCATTTTCTTTTCTTCCTTTCTTTTTTTGTGGTACTAGGGATCGAACTCAAGACTTTGTGCTTGCCAAGCAGGCGCTTATGCAGCTGAGCCATATCCCCAGGCCCGCAAGCAGAATTTTCAAGGCACCTTCACTTTCAGCAACTTCCTCCAAGGCGGAAGGTAGCTTGCCAATAGTGCAACAGTCAGTCCTTTTTATTAAATATTTACCCATTTTTGGCACTCTGCTTGTGTGTGTTATACATTTTCTTGGTCCATTTTGACAACCACACACATGAGCTGGCTCATCTCACTTGCTTTTCTTTAAAACAAAAAGGAACAGAATTAAAGAAAAGTGAATGCTGCTCGCTTAGAGGTTCAGGTTCAGCGCAGTCTGGGACAGAAGCCATGAGCGTCACCCTGTCTCAGGTCCACCCAGGTTCTGCTCATGACTTCAGAGTGGCCTGTAGCGTAGGTGCTTCATTCTCATTCAGTACTGGGGAGAGCAAGGCACTGGCCCGAGCTGGTGAGTACCTGCTTCGAGTTGACATTCAGGCCACTCGAGTAGGAAGGTCCCACCCCTCTCCTGAAGAGGGGCAGACTGCTTAGCAAGTCGGGGCCCCACAGAGCTCTCCCGCTCATCCCAGCCTCCTGCTCCTGCATCTCAGAGAAGAGCTGCAACCTTCTCGCGTTACCGCTGGAGCATTAAAGGGACAAAGATCTTCACTGCAGAGCCTCAGAAGCTCCTCAGCACGGAGACGCCGCTGCTGCTGCTGCTGCTGCTGCTGCTGCCGCTGCTGCTGCTGCTGCCGCCGCCGCCTCTGCCGCTGCCGCTTGCACTGCCTCTAAGTCGCCGCCCTCTGCCAGAAGCCTCCCCCTCCGGAGGCAGGGGCTGCAGGTGGGAGACGGGAGCCGCAGCTTGACTCAGTGATGACTCCCAGCGGCTTCTCCCCCACCAATTCATGACCGAGCCTGCAGTCATCCACAGTGCTGCCTCCTCCTTCAGGCCCTCTCCTCCCTACCCACCGGCTGCCTAATCACCCAGGGTGCTGGCTGTGTGCTGTACTTTCCAGAACCCCAAAAAGGTACCCGGGCAGCCAAGTGACTCAAGAAGAAGGACACACCCTCTCCCCCTCACCATCTGTTCCCAGCACCATGAGTCTTCCGGGACAAAAAGGCAAGGGATGGGACATCCCCCTCCCAGCAGCCTGGAGCACTCAGCCCCTGAACTCGCTGAATGGACAACACCTGCTGTGCTCTCTCCCCAGCAGTGACTCACAGAGCTCCTTCTCATTGTCACTAATCACTAAGCCTCCTAGAGAAGACATCGCACACTCCACATGGTCTCCAACACCCCTTGGTGGCATCCCAAGTCTCCACCCAACCTCATGCCCTCACCCCTCCAGCCTCACATTCACATCTGCCTCCCTGTGGCCCTGCCAGCCAGCCCTGGCCCCAGCTGCCTCTGTGGAATTCCTAAGCATGCCCACATTGGCTGCTGCCCAGGCACATGGGTACCTATGGGCAGCCTGCCATCTGCCTGCCTCGGGGCAGCACTCTGGGCTCCCTGCCCTGAGTTGCCAGCCAGGGGAAGGGCATGAAGCACTTGGGGTTGTCACAGTGCCAGGATACTGAGCACATTTCTATGGCATGGAGCACTTCACAAAGAACTTCCCCAGATGTTGGCTCGATGTGTGTGAAGTCAATACTGGTTACTACGCAGATGTCCTCTGAGAAGGCATGTTAATGTCTTTATCTTTGTTCTTTACAGATAAGGAAACTGAGGATTTCTGTGCCCGAGTGAACTGCCTGCCCTCACGTGGCAAGCAGCCTGGCTGAGCTCAGAGCTTGTGTGCTTCCATTGGATCAGGACTAGCCCTCATCCTAGGGGTACCAGGCTTTGGGGTGCTGGGCTCTCCTTCTAGAGGTGATTTCTACATTCTTTTTATCCCAAACAAAGAATTGGATGAAATGAGCATAAACAGTGTCAGTTTCTCATTTATTAAAAGTAGAAAAAAACAGATTCTGCGGGCTAGATTGAGCCCAGTAAAAAAAAAGAAAAAAAGAGAGAGAAAATTTAAAAATACACTCTGTAGCACCTATACCATGAAGAGACACTACAGCAAACACTTAATTGTCACTGTCCCCCTTTGATACTCCCCATGCCAGTGCCATCACACCCAGGTCATCCTATCAAGAGCCGGCTCACATTCTTGAAATCCACTCTGAGAACTGTTCTGCACATCCTGCCTTAGCAGCACCCTCCCTTCCTGCCACACGATGACATGAGCCACTCCCAAGAGTGTGTTCTGTTCAGAACCCAGGCTTCAGCATTAGACCAACTTGTGGCCGAGTCTAACCCTACTTAGCTCTGTGGGTCTGGGCTACAGGCACTGTTCTGAGCACTTTTCAAGCATACTTTTAATTCATTTAACTTCCAGAGTTGCTCCCAAGACTTGTCCAGATTCTCAATTTGTGCATGTCCACCAGGACCACTGCATTCATGAGTCCACTGGGGTCCAGCCAGGTGCTATGGTCCAAGGTCATCCTCTTAGACCCTACATTGTATTTTTAACTTCTCTGACTCAGAACTCTGTAGAATTGGGTAAGTCACTTAAGATGTTTTGTCATTCCAATGTCTCAGGTTTTAATGGTGGTACTCAGTGATGATTAAATGGGGAAGTGTGGGTAGAAGCTGTGGAACACGAAGCCCAGCACAGCACAGAGTGAACTCCAGCGGATGACACAGTGAAGCCCAGAGCAAAGTTGTGAGAGGAGAGGGGGTGAGCTCAGAACCCAGGCAAGGGCCATGCCAGGAGAGAGCCCCTTTCCCCCTCCCCCGAGGTCCTCGTGGAGCAATGACCTTACTGGGGAATCTGAGGGCTAGAGAGGCCCTAGGGCAGCTGATCATGAGTCCCAGCACAGGCTCCATGCCGTGTGCCTTCCTTCTTCCAAGCCTTTCAACCTGCCTGTTCCACCAGTCCCTGAGCCTACTCTGATTCTGAAGGGTAAAAGCCCCATAATTAAGGTTCTTATCTACTGGGATCTTTGCCATCTTGATAATCTGATAAAAACTACAAACCATTTTTCCAAGAAAATTGACATGGACCCCAAAACACAGCGCCCAAGCATGTTCTTGGAAGTCCGCGGTGATCATCAGGTCCCCGGCGAGCCTCTTCATGTAATCAGGAAGCGCCCTCACAGCCTGGTCACTGTTGTTGTGGCTAAGCCTTTGCTCTCCTGCTCCGACCTCTCTCTCTTTCTCACACACGCATGCACACACACATGCACGCATGAGTCTCCCTTCCCTGGACGCTGCCCTGGCCTGCACAGAGGCTGGTTGTGATGATGATGTCTGTGGCTGTCCTAAGAGAGCCAGCAGGCCAGGGTGGGGGGAAGAGAATGGGCTGGCCGGTGGGGCAGCACCCCCTGCATGTCTGAGCGCCTCAGGCCCTGGAAGCGGTGTTCCCAACCGGGTGCTATGGCAACCGCGGGCTTGGGGAACTATTCATCATGTCTGGACAGGTTCCCCAGCCTGCACTTGTGCTTTCTTTTACTTAAGCAGCTAATTGAGGTGTGAAAAGGTCTGCTATGAGCAGGCAAAGGAGGCAGAGAGGGCAACAGGTTGGCACGAGCCAGCTCCCCAGCTGAGGGCCTGATTGCCAGGGAAGCAGCCCCAAACACAGAGATGCCCGTTCCTGTTCTGGGGCCTCTGCCCATAAGCTCCCATGTGACCTTACCCACAAGCCATCATAAGAAGGAGATCCCCTGGTCACATCCCATGTAAGCCTGCAGCCAGGCAATACCCGAGCACCTGCAGCACAGCCTTTCGGGGAATTTGGAAGTTGTGCGTTTTCCTCAGGTGACAGGGTAGGGGCTGTGCTGTGAGAGGTTGACCATGGCTGTAGGTCAAATGTAACAGACACCAAGTAGATGAAGGCAGAGGCTGCAGGAGTTAACACCTTGCTGCAGTTGCCAAGCCCATCAATTCCCTGGCTGGTTGTCGGATGTCAATTGACATCACAGTTGTCCAAGGTCATCTTCTAATCTCTACCGTGTGGTGATTAAACCAGAAAGCCTACCTCAAAGTAATCTTCAAAGCACCGTGGTGTGGTTTGGTTTGGTTCTTTTGGTGCAGGGGATTGAA